TTCGATTTGATTTTTTTCTAAAAAACATCAATATGGCATCTAATATTAGTGAAATCTCAAGTGATACTATTATGAGTAAAGTCTTAAACGATACCAATGCAATTCTTACCAGTGACAAAAAACGAGGAAGACCAGAAGATACCATATGGAAACATATGAACAAGACTCGTTTGGGTGATGGTCATAGCAAAGCACAGTGCATATATTGCAAAAAAGAATGGGCTCGAGGAAAAATCGATGAACTAAAATTGCATTTAGCAAAAGAATGTCTAAAATCATTTTTCAACTTAAAAATAAGCTATTTTGAAGAATTGGTGGGCATAAGTACAACAAAAAAACAAAAAAAAAAAGACATGGATATTTCTAATAATAGAACAACTAGTTTCGACAATATTAAAAAAGATCAAATCAACATAGCCTTAATTCGATTTTTCGTATGTTGTGGAATTCCTTTTTCCATTGTCAATCATCCATTTTTTACCGATTTTGTTCAAAGCCTATGCTTTGAATATCAACCGCCTAAGTGAGAAATGCTTTCAACTACTTTACTTAATCAAGAAATAGCAAAGGTTCTTTGGAATATTAATAAAGATTTAAAAACTCAAGAAAATTTAACTTTAGTATGTTTTAAAAATTAAAATTTTTTTATTTTAAAAATAAATAATAATATATATATTATAAATTTATAGCTATTGATAGATGGACAAACCCAAATGAAAAATCAATTTATGCTTTTATTGTAATTACTCCAAAGAAAACAATATATACATGAAATTTCAGATGAATCCACATTTCAACATACTGGATATTTTAATGCAACAAAAATAGATGAAGTTTTGACATCAATTGGAATTAAAAAATTTATTGCAATAGTTTCAGATGATGAATCAGCAATGCAAATGGTCAAATGATTAATTGCAGAAAAATATCCAATGATTTTACCAATTAGATGTATTGCACATTATACAGTATAAATCTAATAACAAGTGACATTATGAAGCTTGAATTTGCAAAACAAATTTTAAAAAAGTGTCAAAAAGTAATTACTTTTTTTAAGGCTTCTTATCAAATGGGTGATGCATTACAAAAGATATAATTAAAAATTTAATTACTGGAGGGGGATTAAAAACCTATGTTAAGACACAATGGTCTACAGCTTGGAATTGTATTGATTCTATAATTCGATTATAAAATAGTCTTAAAAATGTAATGTTTAATTAATTTAATATTTTTTGTAATTTAAAATATAATTAACAATTTAGTTTATTTTTTAGATATTAAAAAAACATAATAATATTTTTGAAAATGCCAATACAATACATACAATTTTATGAGATTGACAATTTTGAATAGATGTGGAACAACTTCAAGCAATTTTAACTCCAGCCAAAAAAGCCATATGTGGTGTTGAATATAATTCAAGCCATATAGCATTATGCTTTCTTGAGTTAATAAAAATATTTAATGCAATTAAAAAATTATCGATTACAAATTTTAAGTTTAAACAAGATTGTATCAAATTATACAATAAAAGATCACATGAATTTGATATTCAAACTTATCTTGTGGCTTTTTTTCTTTAACCAAAATATTGAGGTAAATAAAATTATTATTATTTTTTTTTTGGGGGGGGTTTTCCCTAGTAGGTAAACATCATTTCTTTATTCGTTTTTGTATATCAATTATAGATACATTTGAGAAAGAAAC